ATTCTATTTCCTTGTGGTCTGAGTATAAAAAAAAAAAAAAGAAAGATACAAACTACAAAAGCTCGGTTAAGAAGATATGGATAATTTGAATAGCCCTTTATGTATTAAAGAAATGAAATTTATAGTTTATAACTTTCCCACAAAGAAAAGTCCAGGACCAGAAAGTTTCAGTGAATTCTACCAAGCATTTAAAGAAGAAGGAATTCCAATTATACACAGTATCTTCCAGAAAATAGAAGAGGAGAGAACCCTTCCCATTTCAGTTTGAGGCTAGCATTATGGTAATATCACAAGCAAAGATAGTACAAAAAGGAAAACTTCAGACCAATATCCCCCATGAACAGAAACATAAATATTCTCAGCAAAAATTAGCAAAGAAAATCTGGGCTATATGTAAAGAAAAAAACATCACGTCCAACTAAAGCTTATTCCAAGAGTTCAAGGCTGACTCAACATTCAAAAATCAACCAGTACAATTTAACATAGTAATATAAAACAGAAAAGGATATTGTTATATTTATGGATACAAAAAAAGCATTTCATGAAATCTAATCCATGATAATAAAAAAAAGTGTCAGCAAAGTAGCAATACAGGAGAACTTCCTCAATTTGATAACAAGCACCTACAAAAAAGCCTACAGCTAATATTTTAAAAGGTAAAAAATGAATGCTTTCCCCCAAGATAAGAAAAAGCCAAGGACACCTGCTCTTATTTCTTTGCAACACTTATAGCATTATAGGTTCCAACTGCAAATGAGGCTCCTAGAACTAACAAGTAAGTTTAGCAAGGCCACAGGATATAAGGTCAGTACAATTAATTGACAAACTAATTCCAAAATTGATACAGAAAAACAAAAGCCCTACAATAGTCAAAACAATTCTGAAAAAGAAAAAGTTGAAGGGCTAAAACAACTTGATTTCAAGAGTTACTATAAGCTATGGTCATCAAACAGCATGGTATTAGCATAAAGATGAACAAATAGATCAAGGGAACAGACTAGAGAATCCAGAAATAGACCTACATAAATATGGTAAATTGATTTTTGACAAAGTTTCAAAAGTAAATCAATGGAGCACAGACAGTGTAATTGATAAACGGTATTGGAACAAATGGAATCTTTATGTGAGAAAATGAACCATGACATAAACCTCAGAACTTTTTTTTTTTTTTTTTGAGACAGAGCCTCAAGCTGTCCCCCTGGGCAGAGTGCCGTGGCATTACAGCTCA